CAGGCAGTTCCATTATGAAAGCCAAAGATATACAAGGTCTAATAAATCCCAACTAAAAGCACTTCAATAAAAAATACATATAATCATCTAATTTTTAAAACTTACAGATATAATAATATAAGGTCTATACAGGAAAGAAAAACTCTAGGCAAAATCATTAACCATCAATAAGAATTAAGTAGCTCTTGGCTTTATATGAGCATGTTAATACTTTTAAACTAAAAACTATGTAAAATAAAAATATATGAATAATTGATTAAAGTTAGAAGTAAAATAGATTATAAAATATTTCAACCACAGTTTTATAAACAGTTTCTATGTTGTTACTAATTCAGACAGATAAAATGAAGGAACAAAACATTCTTGAACAAAACAAATCTGATAAATGTGCTGCTCTTTGTTACTTTTAGTTGCTTTTTGTAACTTTTAGATGTTTTTCGTATGCTTTTGAAGAATATTTTTAAATTATTTTAGTTAGTGTTCTCATTTGGACTCATTAATTTTGTTAAATCTTTAAACTATATACAAATGTGTTATTTAAAATCTTTGTTTCATTGCTCAAATACATACCTGCTATTTATATTACTATTTTAGTAGCCCAGTTTCACATATTTTAAAATTTTTTCTATTCATTTGTTTAAAATGTATCAAAGATTAATTTCAGAATTTTTTCTTATTTAAATGAGTAATATTAACTTTCTCTTTTTAGTGATATCTAAAAGGAAGTCCAAAATGTACATCTGAGTTTTCTTGGATGTACATTACCTAAATTCATACAAAAGTTGAAGGAAGTCAAATCTGGAAAGAAGACCTTCAAATGTTTAGGTCATCAGTCTTTGCACTTGCTTCTCATTACTAGTCAACTCTGTAAGTGGATAAAATATTTTACAATTACATTGGGGTGATGGTGAGAAAAGATTTATTTTTGCTGTTTACCCATTTAAGGAATTGTTCTAAGAAACAATTATTCAAGTAAACAATAGTGGTTATATTTTAAGTGAATCCTGTTTTCTAGGACATCATTGGCTACATAACATCAGGGCAAGAGAAAATAATTAGTTCTTTAAATCTTGGAAAGTAAAATGGATTATTTATGCAGTTGTCAATAATGTCCTCATAGGCAGTACACTAAAAAAAGAATAGTGTTCAAAAAATCTGTTGCTTGGCAAATTAGAAAATTTTCTTATATTCCATAGAATCTGGCTGGGTAAGTTTAGCAAAAAAAAAAAAAAAAAGGTTGTTATAAGGATAAAAGTTAGTTCACAAAATGAAAAAAAATACAAGAAATTCTGATATAGAAATCAGTATGGTTTTGCAGGACATAGTGGTGCATGCCTGTAATTCCACCCAACTCCTCTGAGAAAGGGGTTAAAGACCAGGTTCAACAACTTGGCAAGGCCCTAAGCAACTTAATAGATCCTGTCACAAAATAAAAAATAAAAAAGCAACTAGGGATGTTTCTCAGTGGTAAAGTGCCCCTGAGTTAATTTTCTAGCACAAAACATTTAAAAAAGAAAAAAAAAGAGAAGAGATGGAGGTAGTAGGAACTAATATACAATTTAATCAGAATGCCACAACTGGAATAAGTAAGGTTTAACCATTTTCATTTTTGTATCACTATACTGAAGACAAATACTTGGAGAAGTGAGTGTCAAAACCTTATAATAGAAATGTGCTCAACTCTTGGCTAGGGAAAAGAAGCCCAATTTTATTTCCTGCTTTTCCAAGATTATACAAAGTAAAAATGCCTCTCTTTCCCACTCAACCAGGAAAAAATATTATAGTGCTGTTAACAAAGAAAGGGAAATAGATGTTGGGTAAGCAAAACTTTAACAAATAACCTGTCTAATCCTTCTGGCTACCTAGTATCTATATACAACTGTTGTTCAATAGGTTCCCCCAAATTATCCTTGCCCAACAAAATATAGCTATATAATGCTTATCTGTAACCTCATCCTTTCTTCAAAGAAAAATAATGTTTCATCATTTATTTATTATTATTGTTAAAAATTCCAGATCTTCTCAAAATATTCATACCATATTCCCATGATTTCATCACATGCTCTCTTTTGGTTTTAAATGGTGAGAAATTTACTACATATTTGCACATGTCCATACTACCATAAGAAAACAAATGAGTTTTTGAAAAAATGTTCAAAATTGTTACATATATTTGAATAGGAAAAGAAAGACAGAGCTAAGTTTCTTTGTTCTATAACCACAAACTTTTTCTACAACCCCTTTGATGATTTCTTCTGTTAGCCAGTTACTCACTTCCACTGTGATGCATCAAATTTTCTTTCCTGAGGGATTTGGCCCTTTGATAATTACATGTTTAAATATATATAGCAGTTTCTATCAAACTTTCCACCTCAGAATAGTAGAAAAAGAAATAGTCTTGAAGATTAGACATGTTCCGTTCATACTCTACTTACCCTCCTTTCATAGCTGCAACACCTCTTCATAACTGTGATGAATATTACCCTAAATCTTTTGATGTAGAGTGTTCCCCAAAATCTTATTTTGAAAGCATGGTCCTCAATGCACAAAGGGTCAGAGCTGGGGATTTTATTAATGATGATTGGATCATGAGAGCTTTGACCTCATTGGTGAGTTAATCAAGAAGTGGATTAATTCACTGGTAGTGGAATGGACCATTGGGAGGTGGACCCTAGTTAGAAAAAGTAGGTCACTGGGGTTTTTCCCTGAAGGGGCTTATCTCTACGCAGTCCCTTTCTCTTTCTCTCCTCCCTTCCCTTGCCTTCCCTTCCCTTGCCTTCCCTTCCCTTGCCTTCCCTTCCCTTCCCTTCCCTTCCCTTCCCCCCCCTCTCCTCCCACCCCCTTTTTCCTTCACCCTGCTTCTTGACTGCCATGAGCTGACAACTTTCTTTAACCGCACGCTTTTACAATGATGTTCTGCCTCATCCAAAGCAATGGAGCTGGTTGACCATGAAGTGAATAGTTGAAACCATGAGCCAAAATAAATCTTTCCTCCTCCATATTGTTTTGTAAGATATTTTGTTCACGGCAATGGAAAGCTGACTAACACAATAATCCTCTTACTTAAAATAAAAACAATACCTTTTTATGTTTTTTTTCTCTCTGAGACATAAAAAACTGATAACAACCAGATGGTAGCCCTAAGTTCTTATTCATCTAGTATTGTGTTTCTTAGTGAAAAGAATTATTATCACTGAAATTAAATAAACAAAGCTCAGAGTCATAGAAACATGAAGATACTCAGTGGAAATGTGAACAGTATTGCTCCTCTTCCACTCCTTGGTCTTTGGACTCCTTAACAAGGCCACAGCAGAAGCAGCCACACATACTTATTGTTGATTAAGAGCACATTGCATCCATAAAGTGGCTTAAACATGCAAGCTGTAGTCCGTTCTCTAGTACTACAATTCATATTTAAATACAACCACACTGTTATAATTCCAGGTACTTCCAAAAGGATTTTAACCAGATTAGTAAATTCTAGTGTCATTAGCCCTTTGTCTATGTCCTCATCCTTAACATGAAAACTTTTTTATTTGTTGTTTGTAGGTATATCTGACAGTACTGTGTATTTTGACATATATACATGGAGTAAAACCCATTCCAAATAGGATCCTATTTTTATTGTACATAATGTGGAGTTACTCTGGTCCTGTGTTCATATATGAACATAGAAAAGTTATGTCTGATTCATTTTATTGGCTTGCCTATCCCCATCCCTCCTTCCTTCCCTTTATTCCCCTTTGTCTAATTCATTGAATTTCTATTCTTCACCTCCCTATCCTCCTTCATTGTGGGTTAGCATCCACATATCGGAAAAAAAGTTCAGCCTTTGGTTTTATGGGAGTGGCTTATTTCACTTAGAATAATATTCTTCAGTTCCATTCATTTATTGGTAAATGCCAGAATTTAATTTTTTATAGCTGAGTAATATTCCATTCTGTGTGTGTGTGTGTGTGTGTGTGTGTGTGTGTGTGTGTGTGTGTATAAAATTTTCTTTATCTGTTGAAGGGCAACTAGATTGGTGGCATAGCTTGACTATTGTGAATTGAGCTGTTGTAAACACTGATATAGCTGCATCATCATAGCATGCTTATTTTAAATTCTTTGGGTGTAAACAGAGTGAGATAAATGGGTTAAATGGTGGTTTCATTCCAAGTTTTCTAAGGAATCTCCATACTGCTTTCCATAATGATTGTGCCAATTTATAGTCACATTAGCAATGTGTGAGTGAAACTCTTTCCCAAAGCCTCCCCAAAATTTATTGTTCTTGTATTCTTGATAATTGCCATTCTGACTAGAGATGGAGCTCAGTGTAGTTTTAGTTTGCATTTCCCTAATTTCTAGAGATATGAATTTTTTTCATATTTTTTGACCCTTCATATTTCTGTTTCTGTGAAGTGCCTGTTCAGTTCCTTTGCTCATTTATTAATTGGGTTATTTGTTTTGGGAGTTTAAGTTTTCTGAGTCTTTGTATATCCTGAAGATTAATGGCCTATATGAGGTACAGGTGGTAAAAATTTTCTTTCATTCTGTAGGCTCTATGTTCATGTCCTTGATTGTTTTCTTTGCTATGAAGAAGCTTTTTAGTTTGATGCCATCCCACTTATTGATTCTTGATCTTACTTCTTATTGTTTAGGAGTTTTATTGAGGAAGTCCATTTCTGAGCTAACAATGATGGAAAGTTTGGCCTTCTTTTTCTTCTAGTAGGTACATGGAGCTCAAACTATCCCTATGTGCTAATGACATGATTCTATGTTTAGGAGACCCTAAATATAGAAACAAACTCCACCAGGAAGTAGAGTTTTTAAACTCATAAGTGAATTCATCAAAGTAGTAGGATATAAAATTAACACTAATAGATCAATTGCATTCCTATATGCCAATGATGATCAGCTTTAAGAAAAATTAGAAAAACTATCCCATTCACAATAGCCTCAAAAAGTGAAATATAATATTTGGAAATTAATCTAACAAAAGAGGTGAAAGACCTCCACAATGAAAACTATAGAACACTAAAGAAAGAAATTGAAGAAGACCTTAGAAAATGGAAAAATTTCCCATGTTCTTGGATAGGGAGAATTAATATTATCAAAATAGCTATATTGCCAAAAGCACTATAACAATTCCTATTGAAATCCCAATGACCTTATTCATAGAAATATAAAAAACAGTCATGAAATTCATTTGGAAAAATAAGAGGGTCAGAATAGCCCAAAACTATCTTAGTGAGAAAGGTATTACAGTAAGCATCACAATGTCAGACTTTAACTTATATTATACAGCTACAGTAACAAAAAAATGGCATGGTATTGGCATAGAAACAGACACGAAGACCAATGGGACAGAACAGAACACACAGAGACATAGCTACCAAAATACAGTTATTTCATACTAGACAAAGGCACCATACATTGGAGAAAAGAAAGCCTCTTCAATGAATGGTGCTGGGAAAACTGGAAATCTATCTGCAGTAGATTGAAATTGAACTCCTATATCTCAATCTGCATGAAACTCAACTCAATATGGATCACACACCTAGGCATTAGGCCAGACACCATGTGCTTACTAAAATAAAAATTTGGACCAACTCTCTATCATGTTGGCTCAGGAACAGACTTCCTCAACATAAAATCTTTGATAAAATGTGAAGTTGTATGGCTCAGCTTTGATGAGAAGAGCTCCTCAGTTTTAAATCATTTGTATCATCCACTAATGTCCATGCTGGGCTGAAATATGAGTTCTGAGCTATTAAATTTATGCTCAGATCTGAGACCCCTTGTATTCACAGGATATGCTCTTATTTGAAAAAGCGTTTTATTAAATGTAAGGAAGCTGAGTTTATCCTGAATTAAAGTGACCCTTAATCTTTTGACTGTTGTCCTTATAAAGGAGTAAAAAACACAGACAGAAGGAAGAGAGCTATGTGAATAAAGCAGTGACTGGAGTGAAGCTGTCAGAAACAGGTGTCACCAAAAACTACAAAAAGCAAGGGAATAAGCTACTTCAGAGTTTTCAGAGTAAGTGTGGGGTCTATAAACACCTTGAGTTTGGACTTCTAGCATCTAGAAGTAATAGAAAATAAAGTTCTGTTGTTTTAAGCCACTGAATACCTGGCACATATTTTCCCCTTATCTGCAGTTTTATTTCCACAGTTTCAGTTGCCTATAATCAACTGTGGTCCCAAGATATTAAATGGAAATTCCAGAAATAAATAATTAATAAGTTTTAAATAACTTTTACTTCAATATACTGTTAAAATTGTTATTGTTATATTTTATTATTGGTGTTAATCTCTTAGGAGTCTTTGCTAACTTATAAGTTGAATTTTGACCTAGGTATGTATAAGAAAAAACATAATGTTTATCTGGTTTGGTTTCAGGAACCCACAAGTGGTCTTGAAACACATTCCAGTGTGTTTAATTGGGGACTGCTTTAATTTGTTATAGCAACTCTGAAAACCAAGTGTATACCAGCATTATAGATATTTTACTTGTGATATGACTCCTACAGTAATTTGGCTAAAAATGAGGCTGATTAACATAATAAAAAAATCAACCTTTCTAAATACTTAGATACTATATTAAAAAAAAAACATTGTTAAACAAATTTCATGTTTGACAACCATTTGAGGATTTGTGCACATACTTCTTTCCTGAATTATTTTTTTTATAAATCTGTCAATCTTTATCTTATACAACTACCAACAGAGAATCAATATATTTGAGAACTTCCTACCATGCAACCAATAAATAATTCCTATTAATAAACATTCAAGAAACGTGTATTTATAATAAAAATATTATGTTTAATTATGTATGGAAGAGAGAAAAAAATCAAATGCCACAATATGGTCTGCAAAAAAACTCAAGTAAAATTATCAGTAATAATAAAGCAAGCATGTGTATGCTTCAAAAGAAAGTAGAAGTAGTTTTAAAGACAAACTAAAGATTGACCAGGTAAGTCCATAAAGGAACTAGATGACTTAAGATAAAAATAAAACAATTTACATTAAGTCCCAGATGAATGGTATAGCACTGGACTAAGCACATTTAAAAAGAAAATGGTTAACCTAGAAGATAAATCTAAAGAAAGGATCCAAACCATTCATGAACAGAGATAAATCATATTTTTTAAAAGGTGACAAAAGACATGGAAGTTAGAATACCATCTGCTCTGCTTTGCACTAGTGTTGCCCAAAGGCTCTAGTGTTACAGGATTAGTCACCAGGGTGGTCCTTTTGGAAGCTGGTGGGAACTTTAGGAGGTAGGACCTAATGGTAGGCCATTATTTCACTGAGGCATGTCTTTGAAGGTGAAGTGAAATCATGACCTCTTCCTCCTTCTCTTTTGCTTTCTAGGCATGAGGTAAGCGGTTTGCTTTGCCTTGTGTTCCCATCATTGCCACCCTGCAATCTTATTAGAGGCCACAAGAAATGGGTCCACCAAGTCTCAGACTAGAATCTCCAAAACTATGACTCAAAATAAATCTTTTCTCTTTGTAATTATCTCAAGGATTTCATTAAGTGAAAGAAACTTGAGTCATACACCCTCTAATATATCATAATTCACAAAAAAAGATATGATAGACAATTAGAATATAAAAGTATTAATCCAACAATTCAAAAAATTCAACAATTTGCAAATAGTGTATATATCAGTAATTCACATCTAAACACATAATATTCAAACTTTAAAAATAAAACAATATCTTTAAACCATGCCAAAGTAAAGAATAAACTTTCAATATTGGTATAAAAATTAGTGTGGCAATGGCTTCTTAACAGTAATTCTGAATGTCAGAATTCAGTGGTCTTTCTAGAAAGTAGAAATATCTGCAAACTTATAATTGTATGATGGTTATCTATTGCTGTGTAACAGACTGTCAAAAACTTAGTTACTCAAACATTTATTATCTCACACTTACTCTGGACTGTGATTTAAAAACTGCTTAGCTGGATATTTTTGGCTAACAACTTTTCTGAGGTTGCTCTTAAGTTGTACATCCAGACTGAAGTCATCTGAATTCTTGACTGAAAATGAAGTATACTCTTAAAAAGTGTAACATTGTTGTTAGCAAAAATCTCAGTTTCTCATTATCTATTAACTGGTTCCTCTCAGCTCTTTGTTGCATGGACATCACTATAGTGCTATGTGATGATCCTTACAACACAATATCTGGCTTCTCTAGGGTAATTGATCCAAGAAAGAGAGAGCAAGGAGGGAGTCACACAGCTTTGTGACCTCCTCTCATCTCGCATGCCATTATTTATGTCACATTCTATTCTAACCTAAGTCAACTACTACATCTATTCCTGTATAAAGAAAAGGGAAATTAAATTTCAAATTTTGAAGAGAGTAACATAAAGAATATAAGATATACATTTTAAAAGATTCACAAATATATACAAAAAAGTAAAGAAAATATGAAAACACATTACAAAAATTGATATATTTAATCATAAACATATTTCAGGAGAGATTTTAGGAATCATATAATACATACTGTCCAAAAGTTATAGATGGGGGTGCAGCTTAGTTTATAAAATAGAAAACTAAAACTTGAGAACTGGCTTGCCCCAAACTAAAATCTAGGCTTTCAGATTCCAAATCCCAAGCTCCTTCAGCAACATAGCACAGGATTTAGCTTTGACCCGATTACTCTCTTAGTCAAAAGGTATTTCATTTTTCTCAAAATCTTTGAGCCCTGTAATGCCTTATCTTGTGATAGTTCTATTTTTATATACAAGCTCCCTGATACCATCCCTGAGGTAATAGCATGCTGGATTTCTTCAAGGACCAGCATGGTTAGTGTTTCAGAACTAACAAGTGAGAAGGCCAGGGTCAGGATTGAATTGGGAGGTAAATAAGTAGGGTATGTGTGGGTAGAGTACTAGCAGCACAGTAGTCAATATATTGCTTCTAATTATTTATTTGTTTATATGAATTTCACCTTTATATTCCTTGAAAGCAAACTATACTTGCTTTGCTTTTTCCTTCTCAATAACTTTTAAAATTGCATTATTTTATTGAATGTGTGAATGAATAGATCTCTTTCCATGAAACTCTGTCTACATTATATGATTAAAAAATAAATGATTCGTGGTAAAATGTCTGAACCATTGATATTATAAAAACACAATAGAGAATGCTCATGAAATTTAAAATGAAATTGCATATCTTTTTTGAATTTAAAATAAGTCAATGACAGAACTAAGCAAAATATTGACATTTGAAAAGTATTCCTACTATTTGACATCTGGATTTCATTTAATTTACAATTGCTTTGTAAAAATGAAATTATAATATGAAATCATTGTTGAAGTGTCTATGATACCTAATTAGTAAACTGTAAATTTCAGAAACATATTGCTCTCTTATCCAGAGTATGTAATCCCTAAAATATTGGGGAATAGACATATTTTATACACTCAGAATAGAATTAGAGGCCCTAAAGTTCTATAATAATTCACAGAAGATATAAGCATTTGTAACATGATTCTAGCCTTATGAAGTCTTCATTTATACTTTGATTGCCTTTGATATAACTATAAAGCAATTAAGAACCAATCTTCTTTTTCATGGATTCTGGCAAATGAATTTCTAAAACTAAAATAGCAATGAGATTTCACTATCATTGTAGTATTTACATCAGCTAAACTCCTTCTGAAAGCCAATAGTCTAAACAGTATAGTAAAAGTAAAAACTTATTCCATGAGAATCATCTTTAACAATCTAAGAATCAGAATATCCCCTCCCACACACACACACACACACACACACACACACACACACACACACACACACACACACAGAGAGAATAAAAATAAGTATGGCCAAAACAGAAGTAGTAGGACTTGCTAAAAATCAGTAGCTGTAGCTGAGTGGTAAAAGCAGCTGAAAGGGGAGGAAAATGCTTAACTTGGCCTCCAGATGGTTTTGCTGAGAACATGGGTACAAGCTAAAAATGGATAGTGGCTCCCAAAGGGCAGAACTTCAAGCAGGGCACCTGGTTTATTACTTTGTGTAGAAGGAAAACAAGCTTAGAATGAGAAAATACAGACTTTCATAAGCAGTGGTTAATGGCCTGGTTGTCTGATTTGAGACTTGAAAGGAAAAGGATTAGATGTATAACAGGGAAGTCAGAAGTATGGACATATAAATGGACTTAAAGGAGCACAAAGATTAAAATTTTCAGGTCATCTTTGAACACCCACCAGGAAAGTGTCACTGAGTGAGTAGGCAAAATATCTCAACTAATTGACATTATTCAACATTTGTCATTAGCCACCCCAGAACCACTATGAAGGTTACATGGCTGGAATGGGTATAGTGGCAGAGACACAGCCTTCCCATGGGTACAATGACATGGATGCCCACTTACAGGACATATCTGGCTACATGTGCCTTTGAATATTTATCTTGTCAGCCAGAGATAAACATTGAACCCCTGATCTGACACAATTTTTCTAGAATATTGAATGCTTAGAAATAAATTCCACAAAAATGAGGGGTGTGTCCTGTTTGTAAATTTGTAGGAGCCCATTGATCTGGAGCATGTCAAGATATGTGACAAATTTCTGTATCTGCCAACTATTCTCCCTTAAAAAATAGCTTTAAAAATCTTTTGTTTTGTTACTAGATCTCACTATTGGTTCACTAGAGACATATGTTTAATGATGGATTGACAGGTGACTACATGACCTGGGATGTTCATTGTAAACTGGGGATTTTCTGACCTGTGGAGTCAAGAAGTTGTGTTTCCAGTAGCTTGCCATGATCAAATGGAAGTCATATATCTGAGATGGGCTTAAGTAAGTTGTATGAATAAATGGCAGAGGTGCCCATGGCCCATACACATACCACATAGTTCCTCCCCCTTAATCTATAACTGTTTTCTTAAAGGGAATCTCCTATGACTAATGACTAAGAAAATTAAATATGGCCTGGCAGCAAATCCAGTGCTATATTCCTACCAGGGTATCACTGAAGGATAGTAGTGATGGAAAATTTTCTCAGTAAGTATCATTTTTTATTTAGTAGATTTTCTTTTTAGTTACATTTTTAGGATTTTAGTTATTTAAGGAGATAGTTTAAAGAATTTCCTTATAACATTCTCCCTCTTTCCTTACTCTTTTCCTATCATTTACCCTATTATTCACATCTTACATTAGTACATTTGAACATCACTACATTTGTTACAACAGGTAAACTAGTACTGATACATTATTATTCACCAAATTCCATAGTCTACATTAGGGTTAACTCTTTGTGTTACATACTTCTGTGGTTTGGACAAATGTATAATATTCTGTATTCATCATAATAGTATTTTGCAGAATAATTTTATTGCCTTAAAAATCCCCTAAGTTCCACCTATGCACCTGCTTGCCTTGAACCCTTGGCAATCACTGAAATTTTACTATCTCTAGTTATTCCTTTCCAAGATATCACACAGTTGGTGGGACTATATGCTAGCCTTTCCAGATTGGCTTCTTCTGCTAAACAATATGTCAAGAGCTGAGTTGGAAAGAACTGAACTGCCAGATGCTGATGTGGTCCATTAAGACAACAAGCCAAAATTATAGTAACTGGTAAGCCTTCATTTCTGACTGCAATGTATAAGCAAGAGGTTAAACAGAAAAAGGTACCAGTTCTCTCAATGTGACATTTTACCCTATGGAATGGTGCTGGGTGAAGGTCAAATTTATAAGTGCAGATAGGAGAATCACCTCAGTGCCAAGGCTATCCTAAGGAAAAGGCTCTTGCTGTTTTATGGACCTGGTGGGGAGAGTTGGGAGAAGGAACAGATTAGGAGTGGGAAAGTACTGGATGCTACTGAGTGAGAATGGAGAAATATTTTCAAGCATCACCAATAAGGTGGTCATGGCAAAGGCATTTGGGCTAGGAATGAAGATATGTATCAGAGCAGGTAAGAGGTGAAGGGTTTGATCCCATAGCTAATCCTTTTTGATTTTGAACCAAGTCTGGTGTGTAGAACAAAGCTTTCCCAAACTTTGTTCAAGTATAGCAAGAGGTTGGCCAAGTATAGCCTTTGTAGCAGGTTATACAGGTCAAGGCCGAAAGAGAACACATATCATTTTGTCCTAGAGCTGGACTCCTCAATATGCATTTAACACTCCTTTTTGTCTTTTTATGGTTTTACAACTCACATTTTTATCATTGAGTAATATTTCATTGCATCGAAATACCAGTTTGTTTATTCATTTGCTTTTTATAAACATCTTAGTTTCTTCCAGTTTTAGGAGATTATGAATACAGTGATTTAAAACATTTATCTGTAGGTTTTTGTGTAGTTTTCAACACATTTGAATAAATACCTAGGAAGAAAATTACTGGATCATATGGTTAAACTGTGTTTGGCTTATAAAAAACTTCCCTGGGCTAGGGATATAGCTCAATGATAGATCACTTGCCTGGCATGCATGAGGACTTGGGTTCTATCCTCAGCACCACAAACACAGAGAAACTGCCAAACTGTCTTTCAAAGCGGTTATAACAATTCTGCTTTTCCACTAGTAATGAATGAGAAATCCTCTTTCTCCATATCTTCTTAGAACTTGTTGCCAGTGTTTTGGATTTTAGACATTTTAAAGGGTGAGTATTAGTCATTGTTTCTAATGTGTAATGTCTTAATGTCTTATTATATTGAGCACCTTTTCATATACTTAATGCTTTGCTGTATGGATATCTTTTTTGTTGAGATGTCTGTACAGATACTTTGCCTTTTTGTCCTTAACATTGTGTTTTAAGAGTTATTTTTGCGTTTGTGGACTCATTCTTTATCAGATATCTGTTTTTCCAAAGATTTTCTCCTAGGCTTTGGTTTCTCTTTATGTCTTTTGTAAAATCAAAATCTTCTTGTTTTGTTTTGCAGTGCTTATTATTGAATTCAGAACTTCACACATGCTAGGCAACAGCTATACCAGAAGTTGTTTAAATTTACTAAAATCCAATTTATCAATTTTTTATGGATTGTGCTTTTTGGTGTTATATCTAAAAATATCAGCAAATTCAAGGTTACCTAGACTTTCTTGTATGTTATCTTTCAGAAGTTTTTTAATTTTATATTTAGTACTGTGAACCACTTTGAATTAATGTTTTTGTGAAATATTATGTCAGGTCCAAGATTTACTTTTCATTTTTGTGTTTGTGTGTGTGTATGTGAATACCCATTTGTTTTATCATCACTTATTAAAAAAGATTATTTGCTTATTCTTTCACCAATGCCATGGTGTTTTGATTAATGTGGATTTGTAATTGTGTCTTTAAATCAGGTAATATTAGTTGTCTGACTTTGTTTTTCTCTAGTATTAATTTGTCTGTTATGAGTCTTTCATCTTCAGAATAAGTTTTTCAATATCCTTAAAATTATTTTGGGGGGTATTTTGATCACTCTAACTTGATTTGATAGATCAAACTTGAAATTATAGACATAATATTGAACAATGAACTTGCTTTTGTATTTTGCCTAGATGTTATATAAGGGTCTGGCGAAACGTCGGAGGGAGAGACCACCCAAGAGACTGACTCCATGCAATTGGCAAAAGGGGATATTTATTGGGGATCCATTCCAGTGCGCTGGGACTCTGTGCTCACTCAAGGAGGGAGAGCAGCCCAGAGCCCAGAGCAAAGGTCAAGCAGAGCTTAAGTACACTTTTTGGAGGG